CCAGCTAGAACGGAAAGCATGGTGATTGATTTCCAAAAATCGGCCAATGCAGTCCCTGTAGATCAGTGGTTCTCAACTTTCCTAATGCCGTGACCCTTTCAGACAGTTCCTCGGGTAGTGACCCCCCCAACCATCAAATTATTTCCGTTGCTACTTCATCACTGTCATTTTGCTACGGTGATGAGTCATCATGTAAATAGCTGATAGACAGGATGTATTTTCATGGTTACAAATGGAACATTATTAAACCATCATGGTGAATCACAAAAACAATGTCATGATCTATTGTGAAATGTTTATTTCTAATGACAAATCAATGAAATGTTGTCTTGAACCATGGTGTAGCATGGGTAACAGTCTTCATGCCGGGTACTTAAAGGCGGGTGTATCTGCATGTGGGCGGACCGCCTGGAGACAGAGAGGCAAGGTGTCTCGGTTCTTAAGATCATCAGAAATAGATGTTTTCTGATGGTCTTAGATGACCCCTGTGAAAAGGTTGCTTGACCCCCAAAGGGGTCTCGACCCACAGGTTGAGAACCGCTGCTGTAGACCATAGTGATTTGATTCGTGGGGGGTGGCCCAGGGCCAGACAGCATTTGGTTCTATTGTATAAGGGGTCGCCGTGAGGCAAGGACTACCTCGATAGTCTTTATTCATCATCATCATCATCATCATCATCATTATCATTGCCACTGGAGCCCTGGTGGTGCTGTCAGGTTGGGTAATTGTTAAACCCAGGATAGGTGGTTCAAACCCATCAGCCGCTCCTCGGGAGAAAGTTAAAGCTGTCTGCTCCCGTCAAGATTTAGAGCCTCAAAATTTGTCATTCGCCCTTCTAATTTGGAATTGACCCTGGCAGTGGGTTGGGTCATACGATATCGTATTCTCGAGGAGCCCCGGTGGCGTAGTGGCTATGAGTTCGGCTGCGATCTGCAAGGTCAGCTGTTCAAAACCACCAGCTGCTCCTTGGGAGAAAGACAGGGCTTTCTACTCCGTAAACAGTTACAAGTCTCGGAAACCCACAGGGGCAACTCTAGCCTGTGCTATAAGGTCGCTAGGAGTTGCAATTGACCCCCGTGACAGTGAGGTTCCCCACGCAATGATGAATCGCCCCCAAGAAAGTCACACCCCCTAACCACCCCCAACCCCCTCCCTCTCACACACAGACAGCGTCACACACAAGGACGATGCCTGCCACTCCTGTCACATACCCTGGCAGCTGACACCATGACAGGAAACACTCTCAAAACCAAGCAACCGGCTGCCAGCGACTCGATCCCCACTCGTCGTTGAAATACTTTCAACTCTGCCTTTGACGTTCTTGCCCTCTCACCTCCAGAACAAAGGCCGCCTTACCGGCCGGCCCTAACAATAAAATCGCTTGCCCTGATCGCACCACACTATCCAAAGATCGGGGAGTGAGGAGGAGCAGTTTGGGAATCTCCAGAGGCATTCCTGGGAGTGGGGCAAGGGACAAGGGGGGCCAGAGACTCATCCCAAAACAAAACAAAAAAACCGTCACTGCCATCAAGTAGAGGGGCAGCAAGGAGGAGGAAGGCCCTCCCTGGACTCCGTCCGTGGCTGCCGCCAGGGCCGCAGGCACAGGAATGGTGGTGAGGGTGGCGCAGGAGCGGGCCTCGTGGCGTTCCGAGGCTGGGACCTACTTACTCAATGGCCTTTCACAACAGCAGCTATCAAGCCCATTCTGACTCACAGCGACCCCTGCAGGACAGAGTCCGACTGGCCCCGTGCGTCTCTGAGGCTACAGCTCTTTGAGGGGAGCAGAGAGCCGCCTCTCTCCCCCTCGGAGTGGCTATGGGTTTGAACTGCTGTCTGCAGTAAGCACTGCGGCGCCCAAGGGCTCCTTAGACACCCCTCTAGTGACTGCGAAGGAAAGGGGGCCTCTTCCCCCAAGGTGGAACTGCTTGACACGGTAGCAAGAGGGAAGCAGGTGGGTGAGAGGTGAACTGGCTGTCTTCCGGTGCGGAGACTAAGGGAGGCGGAGGGGCAAGTGGGCCTCTGTGTTCAGTTTGAGTAGAAGGAAGTCCCTTCTCACCGGTAGGGATTGGGGGTCCTTTCAATCAAGGTGGGAGAGCAGGTGATGTCTAGGGGGCTGGTAGGGGGTGGTGGGGGTGGTGTCATCCAAGGTCACATGGTCTGATCTCTTTTTTTTATTTTTTTATTTTATTGGAGGCTTATACAATTCTCATCACAATCCATACATCCATCCATTGTGTCAGGCACATATGCACATTTGTTGCCCTCATCATTCTCAAAAAACATAGTCTCATCTTTGCTGCAAGAAAGTGGTGCGGACTCATGGTTCTGGGCGTTGAAAAGTCCTAAGGAGGGAAGTGGCCCTGGACAGGGGAGGAGATTCGAGTGGGAATATGGTAGACTGAGGTCCTTGAGGCAAGCTCCTGTCTGTCTGTGGTGTTCTGACCGTCTGCCTATGGGGAGGGGGGAGGGTGTCTGTTGTCTGAAGAGGAGGCTTCAGAAAGCCGGCCTGTCCCCCTAGTCTGATTCAAGGACCATCAGCTTCCGTCCACTCACTGCCATCACGTCGATTCCGACCCCTAATGGCCCTGTAGGACAGAGTAAAACTGCCCCTGTGGGTTTCCAAGATGGTTGCTATTCACCGGAGTAGAGCGCCCCGGTCTTTCTCCCGCGGAGCGGCTGGTGGTTTCAAACTGTGGACCTTGCCGTTAACAGCCCAAGGGGAACCGCTATACCACCAGGGAGAGAAAGAAGGGAATAATGGTGCAGGGAGATGAAGCCCCAAACCAAAAACCCACTCTTGGGGTTTATGGTGTCGATTGCAACCCATAGCTGCCCCCCCCCAGGGGGGGGGGCTTCACAGGGGGTCATCTTGGTAGACTCAGATGCTCACCTCTTTCCCCCTCGGAGCGGCAGCCTAGCACCTTCCCCACTGTGCCAACAGGGCCCCTTAGTGACCCTATAGGATGGGGTAGTATTGCTTCCACAGGGTTTCCAAGGCTCTCAGAGGGGCTGGTGGATTGGAGCCGCTGATCTTGCAGTTTGAAGTCCCACACTTAACCCACAGTGCCACGATGGAAGATGGGCATGAGGCGTCTGTTGCAGAAGAAGGGGGAACAGGAAGGTCACTTCTGTCAGAGAGGGGCCATCCCTCCTCCTCTCAGCCCCTTGGAGGGCCGAGTGACCAGAAAGCGGATCTCCCCTCCTCCTCTTCCAACCAAACCCTCGACCCTTGGACTCTTGGTGTCCATTTACAAAGCAGTTGGCCTCTCCCAAGGAGCCTGCTTCCAAGGAGCGGGTTAAGCATTGGGCTGCTAACCACAAGGTCAGTGGTTCAAACCCACCAGCCACCACCAGGGAGAAAGATGAGGCTTCTGTAGAGACTGCTTCCAAGGAGCGGGTTAAGCATTGGGCCGCTAACCACAAGGTCAGTGGTTCAAACCCACCAGCCACCACCAGGGAGAAAGATGAGGCTTCTGTAGAGACTGATAGCCCTGGAAATCTTCAGGGCCATTCTCTGTCCCGTAGGGTCGCTGTGAGTTGGAATCCACTTGATGTTATTGTGTGTAGCATTCGCCAGACAGTGGTAAGTGGTTTGTGTCCACAGGGCCTTACCCAACTGAAATGCAATGTCATCGAGCCAATTCGGACTCCTGGCGGCGACCCTATCGGACCGAGTGGCACTGCCCCTATGAGTCTCCCAGACTCTCAATCTCTACAGAAAGCCTCAATTTTCTCCCTCTCAGCTGCTGGTGGTTTTGAACTGCTGACTTGGCAGTTAGCAGCCCAGCCCATCACCCACTACACCACCGCTACCAGGGCTCCTTATTGGTGAGGTAAGCGCTGATATAACGATGATGTCCATGACAGCTAACCTTTGTAGAATGACCCATATGATAAGTGTCGGGATCCCTGACACTCAACCAATGAGTCAATCAACCTAATTCTTTGGGGATAGCTGGACAGGTGCCTAGATGATACAAGCGGTTTGCACCCAACGACTGGCCTAAAGGTTGGCAGTTCAAACCTACCCAGCAGCACCACAGAAGAAAGTCAAGGTCGGGAGTCAAAACAGGTGTATCTGTCGGGGAATGGAAAACGTATTTGCTCCATGAACTTGCACTTGAATCACAATACGGCTCTTTTTAAAAAACAGCCTAACCTCCGGCTCTAAAGCAGTTCTGCTCTGCTCAGAGGCGGGGGTGGGGAGTAGGATGGCAAATGGGTCTGTGTAAGTTTCTTTGGGCCCCCCCACCCCCCTCTATCATGGCTCCCATTTCACAGAGGAGGAAGCTGGGGCCCAGAGAAGTGATGGGATTTGCTTGAGGCCTCCGGCCCCATTGCTGCCCTTTGATGCTGAGGTTCTCAGACAAAAAAACAAAACCAAAAAAAAACCCAGAGGCCTGGGTCAGAGAGGCGGGGCTGCATACAATAGGAACCAGCAGGCATTTTCCCCAGGGCAGATGGATATGGTCCACTTTGTAGCCAGGAAGCTGGAAAAGAGGCCCTGGCTGGAGAGGATGGAAGCCTGAGGGTTAACCAAAACAGACAACAACAACAAAAAAACTCTCATTCTTCCAGGACCTGGCTGAGATATGGACCCCAACCCCGCCTGGGTCCTTGGTTTAGAGACCAGAGTGGGGTGGGAGGGGGAACCCCGGGAGGCAGGTGAATTCTGGAGGAGCCGGATGATGGATGGAGCGCACCCTGGAGGGTTGATTACCTAATAGGCTTAATGGTCTGATTAGGCAAGTTTAAGAAGATTGGCTTAGGCTCAGGAAACCCCTTAATTCTAGACCCTGCCCCACCTCCCCCTACACCATCCAGCTCCTCAGGCCCAGTCCCCAATCCTAATACCCTGGGACCCCCAGACCCTGACTCGTAGGGGAGCAGGGCCTAAGGGGTCTCTGGGGGCCCCATCTCACCCCTTTAACTGGAGAAGCCTTTTGTTCTGCTGTGTCCCCAGAGACACTGAAAAGGGGGGAGTCCCGGGGTGGTATGAAATGGTTCCCGCTCTCAGCCGCTGGCACCCAAGTGGGAAGTCCAAGATCGTGAAAGACCTGCAGTCTCTCCATGCAGAGAAACCTGCCATTGAGAACCCTACCAAGCACAGCTCCACACTGACACGCGTGGGGTCACCCGAGTCACCATGGATCCCTTAGATTAAGGGGATCGTTGAAAAAGTCAGCCTTTTTTTTTTTAACATTTTATTAGGGGCTCATACAACTGTTATCGCAATCCATATACACATCAATTGTGTAAAGCGCATTTGTACATCATTCTCAAAACATTTTCTCTCCACTTAAACCCCCCGGCATTAGGTCCTCATTTTCCCCTCCCTCCCCGCTCCCCCCTCCCTCATGAGCCCTTGATAGTTTATAAATTGGTATTTTGTCATATCTTGCCCTGTCCGACGTCTCCCTTCACCCACTTTTCTGTTGTCCGTCCCCTAGGGAGGAGGTCACATATAGTTCCTTGTAATCGGTTCCCTCTTTCCTACCCACTCTCCCTCTACCCTCCCTGTTTTGCCACTCACACCACTGGTCCTGTAGGGCTCATCCGCCCTGGATTCCCTGTATTTTCAGTTCCTATCTGTACCAGTGTACCTCCTCTGGTCTAGCCAGACTTGCAAGGTCAAATTCGAGTCATGGTAGTGGGAGGGGGGGTGTGTGTCAGCTTTTATTGGGGTTGGCGGGAAGAAGGCAGCTTAACCTTAGAGGCAGAAGGACCTGGCCCCTCCGATCTTTTTCCTGTTTTCCTTTGCCGATGGATGGTGTGCTGAGCGCTCTGGAATTCCCTGGGGCAGGAGCGAGCAGCCTTCTGTGGCCAGTTGCTCTGGGGGCATGAAAGGAGAGTGCTGGTCCTGACCCAGGTCCAGGGAAAGGTTTGGAGAGGCCACTGTTCGAACAGGGAGAGATGAGTTAGAGGCAAAGGGATGTGCAGGGGGCCTGGGGTAGATGGGGACAGGGAACAATGAGCAGGTGATGATCGTAAACGGGGCCAGGCTACAAAGGTTGCAGAATCTTCACCCTGGTTAAGACGTAAAGATAAGGTGACCAGACGTCCCGCTTTTGGCGGGACAGTCCTGATTTTTAACAATTTGTCCAGCATCCCGCTGCGTTTTTAAAAAGTCCCAATTTTTGGAAAGAATGCACGACAAGCTAGGGTATATGGTTTTCGGCTGTCATGTGGCTATTTCGCCAGGATAGGAGTTTTATCAATGGTGTCCCGCTTTTGTCCCGCTTTACCAATGTTAAAATCTGGTCACCTTACGTAAAGACCATAGTTTGGTGAGAAGGTAGAAAGAGGTTGGGACTTGGTCGAGCTGAATTCTCAGAGTACTGGACACATGGCTAAGGAGCCCTGGTGGTTATATGGGCTAAAGCACTAAGCTGCTAACCCCAAGGTCAATGGTTCAAAACCACCAGCCGCCCTGACAGAGAAAGAGGAGGCTGTTTATTCCTATAAAGTTACAGTCTCAGAAACCCACCCAGGGAAGTTCTGCTCTGTCTACTCTGTCCAGTAATTAGCTGAAATTGACTCACGGGTAGTCATGTGACCGAGAAAATGGCTTTGATCCATCGCAAAGAGTGGCCAGAGCCCCACCAGCCCCAGCTTGGTCCCACTTCTAGGTCTTCTGCGCCAACCTTGGGTCTGGGGCTGATGGGTGAGGGGCGGGAGCGCCAGTGGCACAGTGGTTACATATTGAACAAGGTTAGCAGTTCGAAACCACTAGCTGCTCCTTGGGAGAAAGACTATGCTTTCTATGCCAGTAAAGAGTCACAGGGATAGTAGGACCCTGTCCTACAGGGTCACTAGGAATTGGAGTCGACTCTGTAGCCCCAAGTTCGCTTGGTTTTTTTTTTTTGGTCCTTCCCCATTTTCCCGGTGTTCCGGCCTCAGTTCTACCCCTGAGCCTTTGCACTTGCTGGCCCTCTCCCGAGCCACGAGCTGCCCTTCCCCTCCCTCCTGTTTAGCCCATGGATGGGGTCTCCAGATGGCTAAGAGACTCCCTGATCTGAAAACCAGTGTCCCTGCTCCAGCTCACGGCCAGCCCACCTGTTCTTGTAGGACTATGCCACCCCCCACCCCCCGCACCAGAGGGTTTCCAAGAGCGGAAGGTCAGGCACTTCTGGTTGCACTTGAACCTCTGACCATTAGGTCAGCAGCCGAGCATCTTCGCCATGTTGCACCGCCCGGGGACTCCCGTTGGCTGCTTCCTACCAACGTGACCCTGGCAATTGCCTCGCCTCGGTTTGCTGATCCGGACGGTGGCTTCTAAAACTGAGGGCCTCTCTTGCAGGATCAGAGGAGTCAAGGCAGCGTCGTGGTTACACGCTGGGCTGCTAACTGCAAGGTCAGCCGTGTGAAACCACCAGCCGCTCCACTCGAGAAAGACAGGGCTTCCCTCTGCTCCCTTAGGGAGTGACCGTCTCGGAAACTCCCAGGGGCAGTTCTACCCTGCCCTATGGGCTTGCTTCGTTGTGGT